AACGACGGTGATAATGATAAGATACTGAGCAACAACGATGGTAATAATGATGATAATGAGAATAAGGATGAAAATGGTAATAATAGCATTTACTTAATTTAGATGATGACAGTGATGAAAAATAGTGACTGTATTGGCAATGGGAAAATATCGATAATATTAGCAGTATTAACGACAGTGATATTAATTCAGTCAATAATAGTCCATGGTAATGATATAAACAACAAAAGTGTAATGGTTATATATGCAATATCTGTAATGGTAATAATTATAAAAATTAAGATGATCTTCACTATAGTTTTGATCATAACCATAGCCTCGAAGAACTGTAATGATAAAAACAAGAATGAAAAGAAAGAAAATAAGGATAAAAATATTCATAATAATGATAAAAATAGGCCTCTATACTTACAAATCAAAACGTCGAAACCTTCAGCAATAACACGGAATATGAAAGTAAACAAAACAAACCACATATGAAAAGTATATAGCAAACGTAAATACAAAACCGCATAAATACAAAGAAAAGACAAAAAAAAAAGTTATCTCCAACCACCCCCCAAAGAAGTAATTTCTCTTAAATAGTAAACAAATAAAACAGATAAATGATCTACAACAGGCAAGTCTACTGAAGACGATAATTCTTGGACCCTTACAAGAAGTACACAAAGTCGGTGTGCACGTCGCCGCCGCCGCCTCCGTTCCCGTTTCATTCACCTCCAGAAAATATTTATGAATGACTTGTGAGATGAACAGCTGACGATTTCCAGTTATACCTGACAAGTCGCTCGATTTCTCGTTGAACAGATCTTTCATGCCCATCTGTAAAGGAAGATTTTTCTTTGTTCAACTCTCTTTGCCCATCTGCAAAAAGGGATTTTTTGTTTATTTATTTATTTATTGTTACCAGTTATTTAAATGTTTATTTCGGTCTTTCGTTGAGGAAATCATTCAGGTCAGTCTGCAAATAGGAAATCCTTAGTTAAAAGGGCCTTTCGAAGTCAATTTTCTAAAAGAAGATTTTTGCATTATTCTTAAAGGGTTTTGATCATTCTCTTCTTCAGCTCTTGCCTATCTCAGAAATGGAAATTGTTAGTCAAAGAAAAGAATATTAATTAATTCTGACAGGGCTTTGCTCAGTCTCTCCTTGAATGGATCTTTCATGACAATCTGTAAACAAAATCAGAGCAAATCATTTGGAAAGGAAGGTGTTAGACAACTTCGAAGAGGCTTCATTCGTTCTGTTGTGTCCGTCTGTGTAAGAAAAGTTAATGTCTAAAGGATTTATCTCGCTACCATCTGCAAAGAAAGAAAAAATACCAAGAAGTAGATTTTTAATAACCTTTCAGAGAGCTTCATCTTTTATGACCAAACACAGAATATTGTGGCATATACGGTATATGTATATGGTATATTGTTTAAATTTAAGGTTATATATATATATATATATATATATATATATATATATATATATATACATATATATATATATATATACATATGTATATATATATATATATATATATATATATATATATATATATATATATATATATATACATATGTATATATATATATATATATATATATATATATATATATATATATATATATATATATATATATATATATATATATATATACATATGTCTGTGTGTGTGTGTGTGTGTATATATATATATATATATATATATATATATATATATATATATATATATATATATATATATATATATATGTATGTATATATATATATATATATATATATATATATATATATATATATATATATATATATGTATATATACATATATATATTTTTTTTCTTTTTTTTTTCTTTTCTTTTCTTTTTTTTTCTTTTCTTTTCTTTCTTTTTTTTAAGTTCTTGTTGATTTGATATTTTGATTTTAGTTCCGCAAATGACTTTTAAGAGTAAATTCGCGAAGGCAATTACAGTGACCACAGTAACTGGATGATTTACCAGTTCTTAGAAAAATGAAGAACAACGAAAAAGAAGAGAAGGAAAACGCCACAGAAATAGGAAAAAGAAGGAAACCGTCGCAGAAAAGTTTTAAATAAATACACACACACACGCAAAATAATCATAATAACCATATCAATATCAATCACAAATAAACATCAATATTAATAATGAATAAATCATCCATTTTCTTCCCCCAAGGGCAATAACATTGGCCAATCGTCTCACAGCCACCCACCTCGATAAGAAGATCAGTGAGATGAATCGTCTCCAGCATCTTGAACCTCGGAAGGGAAACCGCTATTTTGCAGCTGTCCATCGCTTTCTCCAGGTCGCCGAGGTCCATGTCCGCCATCTTGGCTTCTATCTCGGACAGGCCGTCTCGCTCCAGGGGAAGGACGATCAGCATGCTCAGCCTCGAACCCTGAGGGCAGGGAAGGGGGAGAAGGTTACGTGTGTTTAGACAGGTGTGGTAGGTGTGCGTGTGTGTTTGTGTTTGTTTGTGCGTTTGTGTCTGTG